ACATGAAAGGAGCCAGGCAGGGAAATGACAATCAGGAAGAGAGAGCCACCAATGAAAACAAAGAGGAGACAGTGACAGCTGCACCAAACAGCTTTGCTAATGATGATAAGAGTCGAAGGCTAATTACTAATGGCTAATGAGTTGCAAGTTCAGCTGTGTTTTCCCAGCACTAAGCCATGTCTTAATCATCTCTGCATCCCTCCTTCTTAGGCCATGACAAGTACTCAAGACTGAAAGGCAAGACTTGCTTGATGAAAAAGGAGAGGACTTCCAAGGTGGGGTGGGGGGAGTGGTGGTAGCCATCTGAGGTAGAGACTCAGAGAACTGGGGGTTAACCCTAGTAAAGGAGATGTTTTCCAAAATACATTGTTTCAACACAGGTAAAACATCTCTCTCATTTTTAAGGACAGTTAAGTATTAATGTTATCATTATCTTAACCTAGGTGCTGTTTTTACAGCAGTGGAGGAGGCCTCAAACAGATGTTACCACATTTACCAGTTGTCATCAGCAAAGTGTCACCAATTAGGGGTAGGAGTGGGAGTGTTGCTGTTCATTAGAGAAAAGCTAATAGAGAAGGAGAGAAAAGAGGGAAGGGTGGAAAAGGAACCATTCTTATTTTGCCTTCTCAGATTCTGCTTTTAGCTAACAGAGTAGAATCACAAACTGAGAAGTGCAGTGCCATTGATGGGGACCGTGGACAGTGTGCTGAGTGCTTTAAAACCACACCATCACATGGGAATTTAACCCTAATTATTTTTCCCCTTTCTAACCTTAAAGTCATAATGGTGGCTTTGACCTTTGCCATTCTTTAGTGAATTTTTTTCATTTCACTCTAGTTATATTGTACAATGAGTTGCTACGGACATATGAATTGCCACTGATACTGGCAAAGCCAATTTCACATATACTATTTGTATTTTATAATTTTTTTGTTATCATAAAAATTAACATAACATAAAAATTATAAAATAGCCATTGCACCAAGAGCAAAATATTAGGTGTTCAGATAAAAGAAAAGCAACACATACTCTCCCCCCAAGACTTTGCCATCCAAGAAGAGCAAGACACAGTGACAGAAAACCTAGCTGTGTTGGAGGGGTGCCAGTCACTATTAAGAAAACAAGTAGGCAAGATTGTCTTGACCTGACAATGACATCATTTCTACAGCTTGTTGTTCAGATTAAAATTAGATGAAGTAATGCTGCCTTATAGAGTCAGGAAACCTTGGTTTCAGTAGCAGTTATACCATTAAATAACACTGACAAAATCTAAATTTCTTGGGTTCCACTTTCTTAAAATTGGGAGTGGGAGGGGTTTTTGTTTGTTTGTTGTGTTGTTCTAACTTCTTAGACTCTCCAAATGCCAATCTGAAAACCTTCTCATTTTCATCCAAAATGTGCCATATTTTAAGAAGTTCTGACCTAGAGAGAGAAGTTCACTTTCTATTTATTTTCCCCTCATCACATATGCACAAAAGTCTTCCTGTTTCTACAGTAGTATTGGATTTATCCAAACCTGGCTTGAATCCCAACACACCCAATTCTTCTTGATTAAACTCATGAATGTACTAAAACAAGCCCTACAATTTCAGCAACTCCCTATTTTGGTTTATCTGTATCTCTTGCAATTTTTTCCTCGTTTGTCAGCATTTTCTCAGCTCACTGTTCATTCAAGTGGGAAGGAAAAGAAAAATAAATGCAAAGATCAGTCTTTTTATTTTACTAGTGTTTGCATAGTAGATTACTATTATGACAATACAACAGACTCAGGTACAGTATTGAACAAATAATCTTACCTAAAATAACCATAAAAAACAAAACCTGGTAGCCAGAAGGTATTTAATCCTCTGATCCCACTTTGGTATAATGATAATTTGTAAAATTCAAATAACAATAATATAAGAAGCTGATTTTATAACTATGCCTGGGGTATAGTTTTAGGCATTCCTGGTGGGAAGGAGAGTCACTTTTCATTCAGAGTTCTCACTGTTTTCAGATTTAGCATGTACTTGTAGAAGTTTCCTTATAATAAAAATTAAGAAGCAGTATTGGCCAGTACTTTCTGTGTATTTACTGTGTGCCAAGCCTTTTAATATGCAATACCTCATTTAATTCTCCCAATAACCCTAATGCAATTTTTTTTAAATTCTCCATTTTATAGATGAAGGAAAAGGGATTTAAAAACACATTCAAGACATATATCTATGACTGAACTGACATTTTATGGGAGTAAATTGATATGATAGAAATAAAAATGCTGGATAAATTAAGTTCCCTTATAAAGGTGAATCTGTAGTGCCTCATCAATAAAAGAGCATGTTTATCAGATAAATGTTTGCCAGGTTTGTCATGCGGAAAATTTGGGCTGGGCTCCAGTGTTATAATGCTCAGGATTTCATTTGCGCATTCTACAGCTTCCATTTCTCAGCTATCCTGTTAAAGGACTGTTTGGAGCTGGAGGTTTCAACCTGGGGGAGTGCCAGCCATAGTTAATCCACTGACCTTCATTTATCAAAACTACTTTCCCTATTCCTATAGATCAAGTGTCTGGGTTGCTGTTTGTGGTGCTTCTGCCTTTCCACATCCAAATAAATTGAGTCCTTAGGTCCTTTTCTTCTATCTGAACACTTAATATTTTGCTCTTGATGCAATAGCTATTTTATAATTTTATGATATTTAACTGTTTATATCTAGTAGCATATGAATAGCGTACTTGGAGTTGGTTTGGTCAGTATCGCAACTCAGTTGTGCTGGGCAGAGTCTATTGTGGAATGTCTCCAGGTTTCCAGGTATATAGGTTGAGCATAAATCAGAATTTTGAAGGCAAAGAGTTTGAAATGAGCACAGCAAGGGCCTGATCCTTTGCAGAAAGTCATCTCTGCAAATCCCTGGCCGATGAAAATGAACTTCAGAAAAGCAATAGCAATTATTTTAGCAACAGATATAAGTAGAGAAAATACTTTTGTGTGTCTCAGATTGTATTTTAATATTTTTATTTGTTTTAATTATTTGTACTTGACAGTAGAATGCATTTATGCACTTTTATATATCATACATAGATGGGATATAATTTCTCATTTTTCTGAGTGTACATGTTGCAGAATCATATTGGCCATGCAGTCACATATATACATACAGTAATAATGTCTGTTTCATTCTGCTGTCTTTCCTATACCCACATCCCTCCTTCCCATCACTTCCCTCTATCTAATCTAAGCTAATGCTATTCTTCCCTAGTGCCCCTGGCCTTATTGTGAATTAGCATCTGAATATTAGAGAAAACATTCAGCCCTTGGTTTTGTGGGATTGGCTTCTTTTGCTTAGCATAATATTCTCCAACTCCAACCATTTATTGGCAAATGTTAGTTGTTTAATTTTCATATCTAGCTAAGAGAAAGATTAGGAGGAGTTAGCATGCTTTTCTGCACTCTAGGATATGTGGTTTCCAGTGACAAGATACAATAATTCACCTGCTAGCATGAACCTCTGAGGCACCAGATACTCATTTTGTGGTGTGCTTCCAATCCTACTATTAATTTTAGTCTTAAAATGACCATATCCTTCATCAGGAAGCTCCCATCTTGTGGACAAATTAGCTTTTGGGGGAACTGAGGATGTATTTTTTCCAAACACTGCTTCTTCTATCAGTATTTACTGATGATTTACTATATGCCAGGTATTCTTTGTGGTGCTTGAGACAGAGCAAAGAATAAACAGAACTCTGTGGAGCTCGTAGTCTAGAGAGAAAAAAGGGGCAATGGCAAACCAAATAATTAGTATGTTAGAGAACAAGCTAAGGAACAGTACATGATGCCCTGACACAAGGCTCTCCTGGGCATGGGAATGAAGAGGAGGCCATTGTGGTTGGAGTTGAGCTAGTATTGAAGACCTCTTTTTGTGTGGAGGGGGGCTGTTTGCCGGGGATAGAACCCAGGGCACTCCACCAATGATTCGCCCCCCCCAGCCCTATTTTGTATTTTATTTAGAGACAGGATCTCACTGAGTTAGATGCTTAATGCTTCACTTTTGCTGAGGCTGGCTTTGAACTTTCAATCCTCCTGCCTCAGCCTCTCAAGGTGCTGGGATTACAGTTGTGCACCACAGTGCCTGGCTAAAGATCCCATCAAGGGTCAGATCCTTTAGGGCTTTTCAAACCATTGTAATAACTCTGGCCTTTATTCTGTGTGAAGTGAGGAGCCATTCAAAGGCTTTTGTATAGAAGAGTGATAGCATATGACTTTGGTTCCTTATAGAAATAATGACTGGGTGATGGCTTTCCAGAATGACCCACCAAAGCCTGTTTAACCCTCACTGCCATAGAACCCAAGTGCTCATCATACCCTGGGGATCTGAGCTCTGAGCACTGGACTTAGATCCAGGAGGCAGGGTTTTGACTCACAGCTCAGTCAAATGACTGTGAGCACATCAGTTAACATCACTGAACCCCATACGCCTCATCAGAGGAATAAGGATAAACTCTTCCTTTCCCTTTGGCTTTATTTTGAAGATCAAGTAAAACCTGAACATGGAAGCACTTTGTGAATTATAAAACACAATATAGATGTCAGCAGAGGTGATGACAACAATGGTAGTCAATATTATTTCAAGGAAAATTAACTGCAAGGACTAAATCAGAAGGCTGGGTGCAAGCTTCCCTCTTCCTTCGCTTCTTATGAAATAGCTATGGAAATGTCACTTCCTCCTCCTTCTCCTGTATTGCAGGTAGAAGAGAAAGACAAGGACCCAGTTGATCTCAATAGAAAGTGCTATTTAGGCTCCCAGGTGGACCGGTCGTAACTCACAGGGTGTTGGTAAATGGGGGCCTTCCCAGTCTTAGGTAGTGGATTGGTCCATTGCCAAGGGGCTGTCTTAGTGGGAGCATCATGTCTCTCTCTGTAGCTGGCCTATAGGCCTCCCAGGTTCAGGTGGCACGACATTAGGCTGTCCTTAGGTGGATGACTTCTCCAAGTGACCATAACCCTTGTCTTCTTTCTCACCAGGCATTCCTCCTATGGAAGGCTTTTGGATGACCATGACTACGGGTCCTGGGGAAACTACAACAACCCTCTCTACGATGACTCCTAACAAAGGGCTGTGGCCTGGGCTGAGGACTAACTGTTCTTTATTTATAAGTGCTTATCCAGTAGAATTCATAACAAGTACCTGATGCACACTGAATGACAATCTTAAGCCCTGTTGTGTTGGTATGGTTGTTTTGTTTTTATCCCTCTCCTCTGGCTACTACAACTTCCCCCTTTTTTTTTTTTTTTGGTACAAAAGAACCATGATTTAATGGTGAGTGGAGGCCAGTTTGCCACCAAAAATGGGCCAGACTTGCACTGGCCAGGGTAGACCACCATGGTGGAGGCTTCAGCACCACTGAGGACCTACTTCAAGAAGGATGAAGGAAGAGGGAGTGAGCTGTTTTGTTGGGGTTATGTTTAGGGGAACTTTTTGTTTGGTTTTTTTTTTTCTTTTTTTTCCTTTTTCCTTTTGGAAAAAAGAAAGAAGTCCTCTGAGGATTTCACCCTAATGTGAGGAAGCAGGGGTTTCTCAGATTCCTTTTTAATCTCTCTTTTTTCTGGTTGTCTCTACAAGCTGGCTAGCGGATTCTTAGCTGCCTAATTAGTGAACGATGAAAATGGGAAGTTCCCCAGAGGAGGTCAGAGGGTCTAGAGGCAAAGCAGCAGGCTGCTGTTGGATGTCAGCATGCCCTCTACCTGTTCTCTTCCAGGTGGCTCAAATGCACCCGGGATCCCAGCTCACAAGCTCTCAGACAAGATGTGTTCCAAAAGAGAAGGCTAGGAGATGAACTTAGTTAAAGAAGAGAAAAGAGAGACATGTGCAGGTGGGGGGAGCCAGCATCAATGAGGACTTTCCTGGGACAAGTGGGAATCAAGTCTCCATAATTGTCAGAAATATCCACTAAGGCTTGGAGGAACCCATAAGGTCCTTGCCTCATGCCCATAAAGCAACTGGTTCACTGCCTTACTGTCTTTTACATAATGACTGCAAACTTTAAAAAAAAAATTTTTAAAAGAGGCACTGTTCTCTCCACAGTTGCATTATGAAGCATTACCATAGGAAACAGACACCACAAATTCACTTATTGTCCCATTTACTTACCTTAGTTCTTCTTCTGTTTAATATGAACACCCACCTATTGGTTATCTAGTCTTAAAATCCTGCTCAACAAATTTGGGGAAACTATGGTTCATCTTTGAAGGTACCCATTTATTTCAGTCATTCTCAACCAGCAGGTGACTTTGCCTCCCCACCTTAGGGGCATTTGAAAATGTCTGTTGACATTTTTTAATTGCCATGATTCGGGAGTACCACCAGTGGGTAGAAGCCAGGGACACAGCTAAACCTCCTACCATGCACAGGACAACCCTTTACAACAAAAGAAAGATCTGACCCAAAACATCAGTAGTGTTGTGATCGGAAAGCCCTGATGTATTAAAATCACCCCTGTGGCAGAAGGAGACACTCACAGATTAGTAATGCTCTCTTATTTTCAACAAAATGAAGCAATGTATCATTTTTATCCTCAAAGTGTTGTGTCTGTTGGCTGATAATTTCTTGGCATGATGGTTACCTTTTTATTTTTTTGTGTGTTTCTGGAGAGTTTTATTTCAGGGCTCCGCCTATGTCCTCCTCTAACATCTGATATTGGCAACTGGCATCTTCTGTCCTGATTTCATGTAGCAGAAAACATACATTTCAAAATGTGTCATCCCGTCACATCATAGAAAACAAAACTGCATCGATTTAGATTTCTCAACATGGACCTTGACACCATGGCTCTTTTTAGGAAAACCACTATTGCTGTGCTTTTCTGACCCCCTCAGGTGTCAGAGACTAAGAGCAGTGCCACTTCCCACAACCTACTCTCTGGAAAAAAAAAAAATCTGTTCCTGAACTCTTTAGGTGCCAAAGACCCCAGAGGTCTTCTCTGACCAGAGTCAGCAATGAGTATTAAAAGCTTCCAGGAATTAATGTTCTCTGAACATTAGACATAAAAAAAAAAGAAAAATGGCAAAGAGGAACCAAGAGCAAGAGCCTCCCTTCTGACTGTATTTGGCCTGAATAATTGTCCCTCTTCCCACTTCCAATCCCATGACAGGGCTTTCAGTTTGGCAAAGAACAAGCCCATAAAAACCAGATATTCCATATTATTTTTCCCCGCTCAACCAAAAACATTTTGACACAATGTCCATGAAACAACTTTGGAGAAGCACACTTCTGGACCTTGCTTTTGTCATATGCACTGGGTCAGAGGCACCAGCCTCTGGTACCCTGGCCTATTATAAGTCACTGAAGCAACAAGCATTTTTCCACACTGAAAGATGCTGTCATGCAAGAAGAGCACCTGCACAATTAACTGATTACTTCCAAATGCTTCTAGCAAAGACAGGGCCTAAAGCAGATGAATTCAGCCAGGTGACAACTTCCCTTTTAATCCAGAACACTCAGTGTGAAATGCCTAAGGGTAGAAACTGATTTTGCCAAATGTGTATTTTTCTGCTTTTGAATTGGCCAAAATATTTTAGCAAGTTTATTCTAAAAATGTTATTGAAAACACACACATAACATATCTGAAATATATGCCAATAACTAATGTCCTTCACCTCACGGAGAGTCTGTTCAGGTCCACTCAAAGGAAATGGCCCCAGTAGATCTTATACAACCACATCCCATCTGTAGGTAGGACTGGTCCTAATGCTTTAAAGAGAATGTCAGAGCAGGAGGGAGACAAGCAGCCTCTCTTTGATGGATTGCAAATGATCAAAGAGTGTGATTCAACTTGGTATTTTTTTTCCTGTAGCCCTGATGAAGTCTCCTGCCCTCCCTGCACGTCTGCGTCTTGGTTTCTGAAATGGGGTTGATGCTTTCATATTGACCTCACCCCATACTACCTCACAGATGTGTTGTGAGGATCAATGAAATCATGTCTACAGTGTTTTCAGTTTCTGGAGAAAAAATATTTATAGACATTTTAAGTATTACATAGATATATAAGTGATCTCAGTTTCCTGTTTGCTGTTATACTGATGTGTTGTTTTACTTATTCTGTAAAACTGCAATTATGTCATAGCCACATCAGACAGTGATTATAGCTCTGCTGCCCCAGTGCAGCTGAAAGACAGCAGGGTTAACTGTGCCTGGGATCAAAAATGATGGTTTCCATCTCTAAAAGAAGGGACAACCCAGGACATAGGTCTCACAGATTCTTGAGTCAGGATCCATGAGGTTAGGGTAACACAGAATGTATACCTGAGCTCTAGCAGCAGTAGACCTCTGTCCTTCACTATCCCAAGGTCTTCTGGATTCTTTGTGGGGGTCAATTGTGGTTTGATGTAATCTGTTTGCTCTTCATCTTGCTTGCAAAGGTGCATGGTTCAATCCCTCGCATCTGGGAAATGAATTTTGCAACTGGGCCAGATGCTAATTTGCACGTTGATTCACCTTCTTTGCCTTTGCCCTTTTATTTTTTTCCCTTGGAGGGGAGGGCAAATGAATGTACCATTTCAACTTTGATCTTGAAAGTGCTAGTTGGTATGGGTATTAGTGCTAACCAAGAGTACGTTGCCAGATTTCTTTCTTGGGGTAAGTTAACCCACATAATTGAAAGATGGAAAGATGTGCAACTTCTTTGATATTTGATGTCACTGTATCTACATTTGTTGTAATACATATTGCATACCAATTATATCAATTAAAGTTGTTAAAAGCTTGTGTCTGGTTGGAGTGATTGACATTTTGATAGATTTTGTTATTTGAGCTATTCAGTTGACAGGCTTAATGCTGCTCATATTAAGAAGTTCTAACTTTTCTTAAAATTTATCCATCATCAATAAATTATATTTTCTGCAGGGCAGGAAGTTCTTTCTGATCTTAAAACAGAATTGAAGCATGTCAGCATTGAAGAAACTTTCCAAGCAGTGATTTCATGCTCAAATATTCTGCATGCCTTATAAAAAAAGATGTAAAAATAAGTGCTTTGATTCACTGAGTTGAATGGCAATACATAATTGAGTCATATTAAGGAATATTGGCATTAGCAATACATATGATACTTCCTTCATTCCCCTTTAAAAAATTAAATTCAGAATATTCATTCTTACCTAACATGTAAGTATTGAGCAGCCTCAGCCATCCAAAATAAAATTGTAACTCCAAGAAGCTAACCACATATTATTCTGATTTTGAAGAAAACAGCAACAGTAAATCCATCATTTTGCTGTATGGTAATGGACCACCTGCAAACTAGAAATTGTTGATTAAATGATGGATGTAAAGTTAAAGCCAGGTTTAGTAAGTTTAATTACCTGGCTTCCAGGGACATCACATGGAGGACTGACTGGGAAAAGTGAAGATAAAGAATGAGGACAGATCAGAGCACGGGAGGCCCACACTTGTAATCCCAGCATCTTGGGAGGCTGAGGCACGAGAATCACAAGTTCAAGGCCAGACTTGATGATTGAGTGAGACCTTGTCTCAAAGTAAAAACTAAGATTGGAGTAAGGACATAGTTCAGTGGTAAAATGCCCTGGGTTCAGTCCCCAGTAACAAAAATAGAGGAAGAAAAAAAAAAAGGAGGACCAAGCATGAAACGAGAACTTTCAATTGATTATCCAGTGCTATAGCTATAGTTTGGATAAGGATCCACCACTGGCTCATGTGTTAAAATTTGGTCACCAATTTACTGTCCTGCTAGTGGGAGATGGTGGAATCTTTAGGAGATGGGGCATGATGAAAAGAAGTTAAGTTATTGGGGGCATATCCTTAAAGGAGATATTAGGACTCTGGCCCCTCCTCTTTCTCTCTTATTATTTCCTAGCTTCTGTGAGGTGAGCAACTTCCTCTGCTATTTGCTTCTTCCATGGTACGTTGCCTCACCTACAGGCTCAAGAGCAACAGGCAAACCAACCATGGACTGAAACTTCTGAAACTTGGAGTCAAAATAAATCTTGTCTCCTTATAAGATTATGATCTCAAGTACTTTGTCACAGTAACAGAAAGTTGACTGATACATTCAGTTATTTCTTAAGGACCAGCTATGGACAAAAAAACAACTAAAATAGAGTGCAGTGATCTAGAGTTAGTGATTTTCTTGTGGTTGTGGTGCACCTGCAAATGCTGGGAACTTCCTATGCAAAAAGTATAGGTCAAGA